TTATTTATTGAATTGTTTCAAATATCAGAAAGCTGGAGAACTTTCTAAGTATTTATGAAATTGTTGTACAAGGGAAGGTTGTGGTATTTTTTTTACTTTCCCTGCCAGTTTGGCCCGATCTTTGACATCACTTAATGTTTCAAAAATTGTATTTTAAAACTTGATATATTCGTTTGTTTATTTCTTCTAGTACTTTTGTTTCATTGATTGTGATGTAGTGTGCTAACACTGGAGCGTGATTTGGGGACTAAGTAGCTTTGTAGTGCCAGGGTTATCTCAGGGTTATGTACACCCTGCTTAAAAGTATATGTGCATTTGATGCCTTTGCATGTACCTAAGACACATTTTGTTAAGCACAGACCCTATCGACTTAATGTTTGTGTAGATTCTCAGGACAAACTTGTAGTGTTTAGTTCATTAAAAGATGGGGTGAACCAAGCAGTAGAGCTTACCTTTGAGCTCATTTCCAATAGTCATGGTATCTTTGGTATATTTTGTTGAATTCTGACTTCATGCAACTAGCATCATAGTCAGCTCTCTCAATAATATTAGTTAAAGATTTTTCTCTGATGATCAAATCTAACCCACCCCTAGTCATGCAAAATTAATTATCTCTTACTCCAGTAAAGTGTTTTCGGCATTCCTTGTGTCCAAATATATCCAGGCTTCATTTGCATTAAGCGTAAATTTCTATGCATTTAAAGAAAAAGTGTCCGGTCACCATGTTACTTGTACTTGTATCCCTCATAGACTCATTTACAAAATTTGTTTGGCATCTTTTCAAGTTTTGTTCCTTTTAGTTCCTTTTAATTTCTAAATATGTGTGTTTTATAGAATTAATTGAATTTGCCTTACTATTTTTATGTACCATGTGCCAGATATCTATTGACCACATCATTGTTTTATTTAATGTAACTTTATCAGTAATTTACAAATCACCTTTCATTCATTTGGTTTATCATTACTAATGTCTTGTTTTCATTTTTTTTTAAACAATTTGTAAAAGTGGAAGTTAAAGGGCTTTGCGTCAGTTTTGCTGGTTCTGCTTTCAGCATACGCAGAACTTTGTAAAATTCCTATTCATTACTAATTACTTGTTTCTTGTTTTGTTAAACCTGTGTGTGAGGAGTTGTAAGATATTCATTTCCCTCATTCTGCTGTTTGCAGATTGATCAAAGTATTGATGAATATAATGCACTAATTTGATATTAGTTTTTTAGAAAAAGAAAAAACTTAAAAGTCTGAAACTGAGTAAATTATATGTTTGGATGCACATCTAAGAGAAATTGTATGTTTATCGGAAAAGTAACTCCTTGTGACCCATGATACTCTTTTCATCATCTTCATCAATCACTTATTTTCTTTGCATTGTTCAGAATGATGTTATGCTAAGCAGTATTATTAGTGTAGAGAGGAATGAAGAGGTATGTACTAGCTATATTTTGAGCAAAGACTGTGATTAGTCTAAAAAAACATAAAGCAAAACAACTATGTTATGCTGTTACAAGAAATGTGAATGCTGTATCGTACCTGTATAAAATGCGATATCTTAGTCAAATTAAAATTAAAAGTTGAGTAGGAGACCTCTCCTACAGATCCTCTTAGTGAATTAAATGCAATACTTTTCTGTTCTATACTGTTGGACAGATTTAGAAAGTGTAACTCAATAGCTTATTACACATGTAAATATTCAAATCAGAAAACTTTAATTTTTGTTCAGGAATTTATATAACATGGTAGACTGGTGCTATCAAACTCAATGATATGACAAAAACAAATTATACACATGGACGGACACTCTTAATAATGTTATATCAAGTTAAGCCAAGCCGAACGCTTAAGCCAAAGCCCAGACTACAGCGGTTGGGAGGGAGAGACTTGGAAGGAGTTGGTGGTAGGGGCGAGTCTCTGACTCCACCCCAAAGTCACTGCAGGGGGCTTCAGTTTGGACTTGGGCTTTGGTTTCCGCGATTGTCTTGGCTTGGCTTAACTTGATACAGTACAAGAGGTATTAACTTATGTTTCTTTTGTAACTTCAATTAGCTGTCTGAAGAAAAGCCTCTGCACTTTTCGCTAAACAACTACTAAATCAAAATATGGCAGTTATTTTTTTGGGAGGTGCTTTACCTACCCAGGATGAAACTGAACTTACGTTTTAAATGGTTTAGTTGGAATCTAAATTTTGGAATCATGTTAGATCTCTTAAATGACTGAAATATTTTCAATCTGTAACGACCTGATCAGCAGTCACTACTTTTGGATCATATTTTTACAAATTCTACTGTTGTATAGTGAAACATTGTCAGTATTTAAACTTTCCTTTCATTTATGATCTTTTCTAAGCCAAGTTGTGTATATTATATAGTTAGACTGATGTCAAGTAATAGCATTGAGAGTATTAATATCATTATCTCACTTGAACCCAAAGGGTTGACTTAAAATGATCACATAATAGTGAAGACCATAAATAAGTTATATATACTTGTTTGTCATATATTTATTTTATAGAAATTAAGCTCTGAAATGTAAGAAGCATTGTCTCCTATTAGGCTGATAATATTCTGTGTCATCTCATTTAGGTAATCCCATGTGACACTCTCAGTGCAACATGTCAACAGATGCAAAGTTAGAGGAAAAAGCTCTGCACTTTCATTCGTATCTAGTCCCAACCCAAAGAGTTGTGCAAACTCAATAAAGAAAAATTTTGCAGATCTTAGTGCCAAGGCTGTGCAGAATGTTTCATCAGTTATATTGTATTTCCATCTAACACATAAGAAATGTTATTATTGTTAAAGTTATTATTACACGGAAAATTATTTCCCAAATTTATAATGAAAAATAAAATCTCATTTCAAAGAATTAATCTGTTCCGTTCTTCCATTACCTCCTCTGGAAAAAATTGCCTGAATGAAATGGTTGAAAGCAGAGACAGGCGACATCAGGTTTTTGGTGACAAAAGGCTGGGTACATTACTGTACGGCAGTTGTGGCACAAAAATGACACATCAAAGTTTTTAGGCAGTTACACAGTGACATTGTACAACCGACACGACACGGCCACAGGCAGTCTCATCCAAAACGAGTGTAGACAAAAGACAAAAGTCCGCTCGGCACCGTATTTACCTCTTTAAAAAAAAAAAATATTTACCTAATTTACTTCTCGTTGATATGCTGAAATTTGGGAAGAATGTGCTTCAAAGAGGAACAGGCTTCAGAGCGGTACAGCTAGATTGACGTCCCTGTTTGTAGCTACAGCCGACAGGGCCCGAGTCAGCTTAAACTGAACCGTCTATAAACGAATTCATTTCTTCCGCCAATGCTAGAATATCAACCTGAAGTAAACTGCGCTGGGAAATAAAGCGAAAACGAAAGGTATCAATATTTCTCTGAAGCTATCTCGCCTTGTCCAAGCGCTCGGAGGGACAGGGGGCCGCGGGCGCGGGGGCCCGCGGCAGGAAAGCATTGCCTACCCTCCAGGCGTTTTCAGCGACAATCATCGACCCACGCCCAGATCGACACGGCCTCACTTCTTAGGTTTAGAAAGGATTTATGAGCCTGGGGTCAAAACGAGCCTAAACCCAAAGTCCCCGTCACGACAGACGCCTTAGAGAGAAGCCGTAGCCTACCTCGCAAGCGTCCAAGCGACAACTCGTGTCGCGGCGACAAGTAGTAGACACGTCCCTGTTCATGGACACAAAAATGTGGTCACAAATGGGGCAACATACGATGTCCGACGCCACCAGTCACACACCCCTTTTGTAGTTAAACAGTTGTAGCTACAGTCGACATGACCGCATGCAGCTTCATCGGAACCAAAATTGTCGGCTCTAAGATCAACTCCCGGGCGGGGCAATTTTTAGACACGAAGTTGTCTTCTAGTATCGTTTTACCCCGATAGTCAATTGTTTTATATGGCCCTTTATGGGAAAAAAAAATTCCTTCCGACGATTTCCTTAATTTTTTTTAAAAATAAAGAATTTTTACATACAACGTG